AGAATAATTAGTCATGCCGTATCTTTTTTTCTTTTTTATTATACTTCATCGTCGCTAACATTTTCCTGGCTTGGACAATAAGAATAGAAGTTTTGTAAGACACGAATTTGGATGTTAGGAATCCGACTAATCTTTTCGATTCACGCGATGCAAGGACGTATAACTGCTTCTGAAAAGGAATTCTCGATGACTACCAAAAGGACTATTACCGTTGCCACCACATTTACAATCGTTAGGTTCTCTCAAAGCAAGCTAAGAAATCGTTTAAACGTAATTACGGCTCTTGTGTCACGAGTTCATTCTTTACCTTGGCCCGGATCTCACTCGACAAATGTACCCTCTTGATTTGATTTTCTTTTTTTTTTCTTTTTTCGTAAGCGTCAAAAGGGATCTCAGGTTGTAGTCCTTCGGTGCAAACTTGATGGATACCACCTCGATGACTGTCTGACACATTCCTACAGGACCAGTTCGTGTGTGACCATATGTAACAAATATTCCCCATTCTTTTCTCACTCTTCTTTTAACACTCAGTCGAAGTCAGTCGAAGATTTCGATATTATATTTAAATCTCTCGCGACGAAAGATCGATAATAAAATGTATAATGATATTTATATAGAGGACAGTAATCTTACGCGTTAAATCAGTATCTAGAATTATTCGCAGAACTAACAGGCCGCTGTTCTAATCGTTCGATCAATTTACCCGTAGCAATTTCGTTCGAATCATCACGACGAGATGTGGTTTGATAAGAAATATATTTAATGATAGACGAACGACGACGAATAAGTTCGTCGAAATTCGAAGAATTTATTGATGAATTAACGTAAACAAAAAAAGAGAAAAGAAATAGCGGTAGAAGGGAAAAGAAAGAAAAAAGAAGAAGAAGGAATGGAAAATATTTTTCGATGTAAGATAAAAAACAGCAACGTGACTGCAACCAGTACCGTCTTTATGGAAGAGCTTCATTAGCAGACTTTAATTATACGACGAGCAAGATCGTTGTCGCACACTGGATAATATCCGGACGAATAGATCTCCACATGGTTCAGACCTTCTGCCCTGATACCGGAGCGGATCGTTCATCATCCTCCTAGCAATTATCGTAATTAATATCGCCGTGGTGTGCCGTATACGGATAAACATATATATATATGTATATATGTATGTATGTATGTATGTTTATATATACATAGGTATACGACTCACCCCATGACTCGCATAGATTTTTAACACGATTCACCGGATATCGTTCCTAGTAGTTTGAGAAACGACGATGCATAATCGTTTGATTCAATGAATCCTGTCGTCGATTTAATCATCTCGTACGCGAACTATCTGACATATTTATTTATTAAATCTTACCTGTTTCTCTTTCTCCAAGATAAAACACAACTTTCTATTTAACAATTCTTCAATTATATTTCCTTTTTTTTTTCCCTTTTATCTTTTTCTGTCTAGAATTTTCAATTAATATTCGTAATTAAACGCACGATAGTCAAAGTTGTTGTTGCTGTACTTGTTGAATAATTACTGTAAAAAAAAAAAAAGAGAATAAAAAATAATAAAACCAATGAAGAGTGAAAGCAAAAGTAAATGGGAACCGATTAAACGTTACCATTTTACTATCTCTTCCTTTCATTCTCTTTCCTTCTATTCGAATTAGACCAAAGTATCTCTCTCTCTCTCTCTCTCTCTCTCTCTCTCTCTCTCTTTCTCTTTTAGCAGTTAGAAGCTCGAACACCTTATCTACGCAAAATATCAACTAAGGCGCACGTTTCTAAGGCTTCTAATCAAGACGTATCCTCTTCGTGACTAGCTAGCTAGCTAGCTAGCTAGCTAGAGAGTTTAGACGATATCCAAGGAACGTCATTACCGTTCAAGAACTGAGAGCAACTCGTAGTGATCGTTAAGCTCGCTTTGTCCGCGAGTTCAGGGGAATTGGTAAAGCAATAACATTAATCCAGGACATCGGTATGGTGCTAGAAAGAGAAAAACTTATCCAGTTGGCAAGAAATAGAGTAAGACAGTGAAATAGAAAGAGAGTGAGAGAGAGAGAAAGAGAAATGTGTTCAGTTTCCTCTCTCTCTCTCTTTCTCGTCCTCCTCGTGCAGACCTCGAAGAGTAATCCCTGGTGGTCGAGATCCTGGATGTCCGTATAAAGCAGTCCCGTGGAATGGACTTGGAACTTGCTAACCTCCTTCACCTCTTCTCCTCTCGTTCTCTTGGTCACGAGCTGTCTCGGTTCTGTCGCGGTTGCTCCCTAGACGGGATGCGGTCTGGAGTCTCTCTCTCTCTTTCTCTTTCTCTCTTTCTCTTTCTCTCTCTCTTTCTGGGTAGACCCTTGTACCGGACCGTCTGTAATTTTAATAAGCCGTATTACGAGCTTCTACCTACGGAAACAACTTCCTTTCCCTATATAACGGACAAGTATTTGCCGAGGTGGTGACCCACCCTCTCTCTTCCGCTAATTCTATATCTCTCTGTATCTTTAGTTCTGTGTTGATCAACCACACAACACTGGACAATTTTATATACATATCTTATTATTCTATTTGATATTAATATTAATAATTTCGTATTAGTTGATCGCGTTATTCAATATTTAATTGTATATTCCATTTTTAATTATATGTTTTTTTTGGATCAAATTTCATAATAAACGAGAATATTTGTTATTGGTTTTCAAAGTTCACCGAGGGTGGGATTAATTTAAAAAAAAAACGATATGCTACAAATTCGAAGAAATGAATTTTCTCGTAGATCAGTAGACGTCATCTTGGTTATCTTTCGGTTGAATGAGAAAGATAGAAGTTATGCGAAGATTAAACGAAAGGGGGGAAGGGCAATCTGCTGCGGTGTTCTCTCTCTTTTTTTTTTCTTTTTGCTTTTTCTTTTACATTTCTTTCTTTCTTTCTTTCCTTTTCTCCCAAACGACCAGATTTTTATGCCTAATTAATCGCCATAAATCCGAGGGAAAGCAGCCCGCCGGATTACGGTGAAATTTGCGCGAACCGTCTCACTCTCGTGAGGGGTGATTCAATGATTTGTAGATGCACGGGGTGAGATCCTTCGCTCCTCGTAATTCGCCTTAAGCGTACACGATCTTCTACGTTGATTGAACGCATTAAAGGCCATCACTTTTGGTTAATCTTCAAAAACAACAAAACTACCGTATACAAATACAAATATGAAAAAAAAACAAAAAGAAAACATTATATAATTTTATTCTACGATGAGATAACACACGAATAATCTACTCGAAAATATATATTTATCTTATAATTTTTTTGAAAATTAATCAAATATTCTCATCGGTAGTTGATTTTGTTTAAAAAAAAGAAGAAAAAAAAAGAAATCATTTCTCCCGTTCACGATCAAAAGTACCTCCTAACGCATTCTACTTTTTCCATTAGCATTTATCCAAACTAAAGCTCGAGCCCTTAGAAATAGGAAAAAGCTTGCCGAGGATGAAAAGTAGAAGTAGTAGTACTAGTAGTAGCAGCAGAAGCAGCAGCAGCAGCAGCACTACGAGCAGAAACAAAATGCAGAAGCTCAAAGTTATCCGCGAAGTTTCGAGTGCAGAGCCAGTTGATTTATCGGGCTCATTACTGCCAGGAAAGAGGGAGGACTACAGGAATGGAACCACCCCAGCGGCGTGTTTTACAAGACGGCATTAATTGCTCGAATTAAATATGCACCTCACTCCGCGCTGTAATTTATTTCGGTTTCCTTAAGCACTTTAAGTCATCGGGAACTCGGCCTTAGTATACGCCGCCCATCGCCAAAGCTTTCCACTAACGTTAATAATGAGTATGCGGGATATTAATTGACGTTACTCCGAGAAACGGTTCTTTAGACCTGTTGTAACCTGGTTAAAACGATTTTACGTTTTATCCTATCCATATTATACATGAATCAAATGTTATACGTACGTGGTTTAGACTTGACATGAACGATCATTCTAATTAACACCTTCCCGATTGACTTATTAATACGTTCACCGCGTATCAACAACCTCTATTTGCTTCATTTTACTTTCATATTCTTTTCAAAAATAAACATTTTATAACATTTGATATAATGGCTAGGTACAGGAGTAGGTTACCGAGTCGAAAACTTAGTTCACCACGCTTCTGTATTTTATATATTATATTATATATAGAACAAACTTAATTATTTATTATTATAAGTAATTCATCTGCTCTCTGAATTAATGATTGTTTTATTTTTTTTCTTTCTTGCTTACCCATCAAATGTAAAAAGAGGAAATTATTTTTATTATTTTGTTTGTTTATTTACAGGAACGCTTTTGACGAAGAATGTCGTGCACAGAAAGCTCTCAACCTATTGAAAGCTCGAGATCGTCGTATAGCTTATCTCGAAAAAAGAGTAATTGAATTGGAAGAAACAGCTATTAGTATGCATGCGATGAGTTTGCGAGCATCCTCGACACTTTCCAATTTAGTTGATCTACCGAACGACAAGGATGCATTTTACAATATTTCACACAGCGAACGTACTATGAAACACTGCAACGATTATAAAAATTCGAACGCGTTGAACAAAAATGATCGTCAAGCTTATATTGAACAAAGAAAATCATTAACCAATCAGACCAAAGTACCTAATTTAATATTGTCGTCAAATACTTCATGCACCGATAAAGAAATTTTCACGACGTCGAGTTTGAATTGGACAAATCGACACAATTCGAATTATTTTTACGTTGACAATTCTAATACCAGTACGAATGTGAAATTAAACGAGATTAATGATAGACCTACGAAGGTAATAATTCGTGACGATACCGTTAACGAAAATTATCTGCCGGAAGATAAGAAATCGACGTTAATTTTAACCGACGTGGATAAAGGATCATCGAAAAAAAACGATGTTAAGTTTTTGGGTGAGAATAAGAAAGAGAATAAGCACGTGGTATCGAATAGTAGAAACTATTATACGGAGTTTCCCATCAGAGTGTCTTCGAGCGTGGCTTGGTTACGAACGAAACGGAACTTCCGCAAGAAGAAAATTCGACCCTTCGTCGTTAGGGCGAGGAGACAGCAAAAAGACGATCATCTGCCGGAGAAAATCGACGTCTCGTCGTTTCGGTGAGTACCGTTGATATCTTCTTTCCTATCAAATTAATTAAATCAACGCAAAAATAATCAATTTTAGATAAAAACGATCTACACTATCGTTCAATTATTAAAATCATCAAAATTCGTCTTAAATAAACACAGAGAAAGAGAGAAGTAATTATTTATTAAATAATATAATTCAAATTCACAAAAAAAAGAAAAGAGAAACGAAGAATAATTCTTATAGAAAAAAAAAAATCTTAAAAGATACCGACCGCCGCGTTTAACATTAACTTGTCAAAATATAAAAGCCAGAGGAGTTACGATCCCGATTAACAATCTATCATTCTTAGCGAGAATACTCGCGATATTTTTCTTCTAATAAACAACATATATTATATATACATATATATCTCGAAACGATGGTGTTCCGCGTTCATCATCTCGGTGCATGTCAAAATGGCGATCGTTTAACCGGTAAAGTAGTGGATGCCGAGTAGAATATCAGGTCCATTGGCACGTAACAGTTGGATTTTTCCAAGTTCGGCGAGCAGCGTAACGCTTGGTGCTTGCGGTTCGACGTGAAAATGCATGTAATTAGCTGAAATTGATGTTGAACGCGAGCACGGCCGCAATTTTAATCGGCTGTCGTATGATAATTACGCGTGGCAGGCACCCCCCGACCCGTGCCGGATAAATCATTTCTCGCTCCTGCTTCGCCCGTAGCTTCGCATCACGAAGCCAGAGAACTAAAGAGAGAGAGAGAGAGAGAGAGAATGAAAGAGAGAGAGGTTCCCAGGTATTCATTTACTTCGTATTAATCAATGTGTGAAATTGATTACGCCTAGTCTCACCGTAACGAGGGTTGTTGCTTCTCCTAGTAATAGGGGAAGGGGAAGAACACACCAATGAACCACCAATCCTTTGACGTCACGTGCCTGTTTTCTCACTACTTTCACATTGATTCCATATCTAGGTATTACATTTTTCTATCTTGCAATAAATTCCGTCAATTGTGTTTCCACATACAAAGTATATCTTTTGATTTTCTACCAAAACAGAGAAAAAAAAAGAGAAGAATCTTTTTATATTAGTTTAAAATTAATCTTAATTTTAAAAACGGAAATCAATTTTTGTTATTATTATTATTGTTTCTAATTCTACACCAATTTAAATCTAAATGATATAATTTTAATTATGTTATAATGTTCAAATAATAAATTTAATCGAATAGACACGTTTTAACGTGTATATAATTTTGTTTGACACTGTATATATATATAATATATCGTACGATTCTATGTTCGTATTAAATAAATTAGTATCTTCTTTCATCGTGATACTATGTCACAAAAGGAACAGATTACCTGTCTCTCTCTCTCTCTCTCTCTTTCTCCCTTTTATGCCGGTAGTCGTTCAACGATAGAAATAAAGTCCTCCTTCGTGATTTAACATTTTTTTTCTTAAGGATGACAGTCTCCTATATATCGTATCGGTCGATAGGTCGAAGCACGACCGAGAAAATTGCATTTCTATTTATTTCTGTCCGTCACGGCACCGTTTTCTGTCGTAAGACAGAACGAGTCGAGTACGATCGGATTATCATTGTCACGACTACTCTTTCTCTCTTGAAGAAAAAGGAAGGGAAGAAAAAGAAGGTGGTGAAGGAGAAGGAAAAGGAGGTGGGGGTGGAGGAGGGAGGAAGATTCTTCGTAGAATCGTAGAACCTGTCTCGCGACCTCATTCATAGCAGGGAACGAACGCAGAAAGTTGACAGACGCGCCACGCCAGTTTGCAAAATTGCTTGCTTGGCAAAGAACGGTGACGAAACGATTCGACGATTAACCAGATCGTCCAACGGACAATAGGATACCTCGACCTTTGATCTCTTACTGGTTCGGTCCCATTGTGTATCGCGAAAAGAAATAGACCAACTATCCTAGACGTCGAAAGGATCATTCCAACACTGACATTTCACAATTATTTCGTACATTCATTTTAACAAATAATTTATTAACGTATGTCATCTTGATTATTGACAATCTATAAATGTGTGATCGTTACGATGATATATTGAAATCTAAATTGTAAAGTTGTAAAAAGAATAATTTTTCCAACACAATTTTGTATAATTTTAATACTAAAGAATGCATTAAATATCCTTATATACACGTTTCAAGAAAATGCATTACTTTTGATAACGTATATACGTATAGAAAATATATTTCAATTGATACAATTAAACAAAAATATTGCGCGAAAAAAAACACAAGTAAACTAAATTTTTTCGGGACGTAACAAATATAAATTGTTTTAGGATAAATAATCAGACGTTTAATTATTAATAAAATCGTTAGTGTTTCAATATTTCAAGTAAAACAGGATCAATGTAAAAAGGACAAAGGATATTTATGTTAGATTTAAGAGAGGAGAAAAAAAAAGAGGATAATGATTGAAGAGTAATTCTGTTGAACGAGCTATTTATCAGGATCGGAGTATCGAAAACGAGTAGGATCGAACTCCGATCAGTGACCTTCGACCTCGCGTCGATCTTCTTCCCCTTCCAACTCTGCACCACCCCTCCAACACACCCTACCACCCCATCCCCACACACCTCTTTTTCTCTTTATCTTTCTCTCTCGTTTAGAATTATTGCGATCGAGCGTGGATGTGCTCTTTGACACGCATAGTTAGACGAATCGATGCGTTTCAAACTTCGAAGAGAGAAGAACATATTTCTCTCTTACTCTCTCGCGCGAGAGCAGAGAAATACGCCGCTAATGGAATCAATTAGGTGTGGATTAATATTGACAGATTTATTGACTTGCCTTTTGTGCTCGTCACAGCAGCCAGATTACACAGCTCGGTCCGATTTATAACCGAAAACCATGTTTGCTACCGCAAGCATGTTAACGTAATGTCGATCCGTGAATACACACACACACACTTACGTATATACAAAACAAAATTGACTAGCCTACATATATGCCAGTAATTATGACACTGGACTAAATACAAAAAAAACATTTGCAGAATCGTTCATTCAAAGTGTAATTCATTTTATAATATAAATAATTATAATATTATTTCATTTTTTTTTATATTATAAAAATAAATAATTGCGCAATTTTATAATATTAATAATAAATATTATTATGCGTTACAGTTTATATTGGTTCATTTTATGAAATATAAATAATTGTAACGTTATTCTTTTGTTTTTCTTAGTAATATATTATAAAAATAAATAATTACAATATATTATAATAATAATAATAATAATAAACTATTATACGCGCGAATTTTTGCAATTTTTGTTTTTCACTTATGTTAGTTCCCTGTCATAATTATCATCATGCATATGTAAACACGTATTTTACTAACAACCACTATATCCCATTATCATGAAGAGACTAAAGTAATCGATCTACATATTATACAATACATAAAGATTGAAAATGTCGATATCCAGATCCTTGGTATAAGACTAAGATATGTTTCAACTGAGAAGGACGAGCGTTTACGTAGGTAATCTCGGACAAAAATAATAAAAATGGGACGTTGAAGGTTCGTTACGACAAGAGTCCGCTATAAAACTAACCAATGTCCGAACCAATGTGTTCGCCGCTTTTCTATAGAAAAAATTAACCTCCTATATATATGTATACGAGCAGCATCGTTTGCGTAATTCGTAATTGCGTACGCGAAACTGTCGGCTTATGAAATTAACGAGGGGAACCATTAAATTTAACGATCGTTGACTCGGTGTCCACCGTGTGCAGAAGTAGTGGAACGGCATACTACGATCCTGTTAGTTGCTACCATGACTTTCTCTCTTTCTCTCTCTCTCTCTCACACACACATACACACTCTCTTTTACCCTGTTTCATTGTTACTATCTCTCTCTTTAATCCTGGTTCACTGTTTCTCTCTCACTCCTTCATTCTTTCATTCCCTCTCCCTCTTTCCATTACTCTGACGTTCTCTATTTTACTTCGGTTTGTTTTTTTTTTTGGGGGTAGGGGTATTTAATTCTTTGATCCCTTTTCTCTCCGTTCCCTTTTTTTATTTTTTCGTGAATGCGAATTCATCCCGTCCAATTAGCAAGATCACGGTGACACCATGGCGGACATTAAAAGAGAGAGGAACGCGACAGACTTGGACAGAGAGTGACGAAGCTAACGGGGCATTCGCACGAGAGGCACGTCCGGCATCTTCAAGGTAAAGAGAGTAACCTATCTCTCTCTCTCTCTCTCTCTCTCTCTCTCTCTCTCATTCTTTATTTATTTATTTATTTTTTTTTTCTTTTTTTACTCTCTCTCGTCCGAGAAGAGTTCGACACGGTGACCATGCTTGAAATCGGATCGTCAGACCCTCCAATTAAAGTCCGACGACAAACTCCTGAATGTATTCGTGCTCGAAGTATTATATATATTGCTCGATAACCCACATGGGCGGCCCTTTTTTTCAACAAATGCAAATCCTTACGGTCCACGTAATTCTTCTCTTCTTTTTATTTTTTTTTTTTTTAATTGTTTTCTCTCTTTTTAAATTTACCTTCAAGTATTACGATTAAAAGTCGAAAACGAAACGAAGGAAAATGATTTTTATTTTTATTTTATTTAACACTTTGACTGTGCTATGGATGGATACGTGTATATAGGCGTATACGTGTTTGTTAATATGAATATAAAATAATTTAATGTTGATTTGCATATTGTTTTAAATCTTGTGTCATATATAAAAATATAAAGGGTGTCCTACATAACTCTAATCACAATCTTTCGATAACACTTGCGATAATCTGAATATGAGTATAATATATATAATATATAACCTATATATGAGTATAAAAAATATTTACCGAAACTTTTCAAAGAAATTGCAAAGATGCACAATTTACAGCATTGCATTCTCTGACATTTTATGAACCTTTGCAGATAGACTTATAACTCGACAAAGTATTCTACGCGTAGACAAAAGAATGTACTTTAATTTAATATAAGAGTCATTAAAATCTATTAACTCTT